GTGGCGCCCTTCTGTCCAGTGTTGGCGCTCCGGCTCCTCTGGTGATAACGGCGCCCTCCTAGATGATGGCGGCGCCCCTCTGTCCAGAGTTGGCGCTCCTGCAGTCGGTAGCGGCGCGCTTCTAGATGATGGCGGCGCCCCTCTGTCCAGAGTTAGCGCTCCTCCAGTCGATAGCAGCGCGCTCCTAGATGATGGGGCGCCCCTCTGTCCAGTGTTGGCGCCCCTCCAGTTGACAGCGACGAGCTCCTAGATGATGACGGCGAACCCTCTGTCCAGTCTTGGCACTCCTGCAGAGATAGGGTGCCCTCCTAGACGAAGGTGGCGCCCTTCTGTCCAGTGTTGGCGCTCCTCCAGTCGATAGCGGTGCGCTCCTAGATGATGGCGGCGCCCCTCTGTCCAGAGTTGGCGCTCCTCCAGTCGATAGCGGCGCGCTTCTAGATGATGGGACGCCCCTCTGTCCAGTGTTGGCGCCCCTCCAGTCGACAGCGACGAGCTCCTAGATGATGACGGCGACGCCCCTTTGTCCAGTCTTGGCGCTCCTTCAGTGATAGCGGTGCCCTCCTAGACGATGGTGGTGACCCTCTGTCCAGTGTTGGCGCTCCTCCAGTCGATAACGGCGCGCTCCTAGATTATGGCGGCGCCCCTCTGTCCAGTGTTTGCGCTCCTCCAGTCGATAGCGGCGCTCTCCTAGATGATGGCACCTTCCCGGCTCACTGGTGTCCTTCTGATCAGAGGGCGCCCTCCCGGCTCATTGACGTGCTTCTGACCAGAAGGCGCCCTCCAACTCACTAGCATGGTTCTGTTCAGAAGGCGCCCTCTCCACTCACCGGCGTGCTTCTGATCGTAAGGCTCCCTCCTGACCCACTGGCGTGCTTCTGATCGTAAGGCGCCCTTCCGACTCACCGGTGAGGTACTTGTTATCAGAGGTCGCCCCACCGACACACTGACGTGCTTCTGATCAGAGGGCGCCCTCCCGGCTCACTGGCGTGCTTCTGGTCAGAAGGCGCCCTCCGACTTCATGAGTATGGTGTCAGTTATGGGATATGTAGAAATGCTGCAGCTCTAGTCTCTGAATAGCTCCCATGGCCATGTTCCTAATCTTATAGCTTGATGATAAAGTTATTTTATTATTATAGTACGCTGGACTCTGTCGTCTCACCCACGTTCCGCCTCTGTCTTGAGATCACCTGCAAAGTTCTCAGCGTCACAAAACCGCTCTCGGTCAAACTGCAGACGATGAATCAAGACCTGCTGCAGGCTGTCCGCAGCGTCGACAGCTGCATGGAAGTGCTTCAGTCGATGAGAGACGGCGACACATACGACAAACTCTTCGATCTCATCAATGAAGAAACAGAGGATGGCGTCAAACTTGAAACTACCGAGACGGACTGGCAAACAGACACATCGCTCGAATCCGCCGGCCAATGACGCCCGCGAGTACTTCAGGAGATCAGTCTTTCTGCCCTTCGTAGATACGTGCCTGCACCAACTCCGTGAGCGATTCAAGTCTCATCGATCAAGGGGAGTCCTGCTGTGCTCCCTGCTGCCTTCAGTCTGTGTAGGCCGCAGCTTCGCCGACGCCCAGGATGGAGTGACGCACTACAACCCCTTCATGGATGCCAGCATGAATGAAGTGCACGCCGAATTCCTTCGCTGGCAGGAATTCTGGGGCAATGCGGCGGAGGAGGAGCGGCCGGACAACGTTCTAAGTGCCATGAGCGAGGCGGAAACGATGGGCACATTTCCGTGCATGAAGAAACTGCTACACATATATGCTACGCTGCCTGTAACCACTGCGACCAATGAGCGGTGTTTCAGCGCCCTTACAGGGTGTCCCATAAGTTCGTTCTCACATTATGTTTGCATGTGAAACAGAGTACATTGCGTTTTAATATATTTATGACCCCTCAATGTGCTCCCCATTTAATGGGCAAACACATGAATACATGCTGCGGCATGCCAACCGGCATGTTTGGCTGCATAGTAGGCTTAAAGTTAGCCCAGACTGACTTGACATGCGCCGTGAGCTCCTCGAGGCTGGAACAGCGCTACGCTTCGACGAGCCTCAATTTCAGCATAACCAACAAATTTTTATGAAATTTTGATCCAATGAGGTGCCTGGCATGTGATCTTGCCACAAACACCTGTCACAGTCTCCTTGCACCGCTTTTAAGCTTTGCTTGACCTGTGCACTGATGCACTGTCTTGCCTGAAGATGGGCCTACGACCTCCCGGATGCCATTTTCTCCTCTATAAATATGTTCATACTCGCGTTTCGAGTTCAGCTTGAGGGCTGAAACTCCTCCTAGATGTTCTTGGAAAAGCATTCTGCTTCCCAAAACTGTTTCTGGGTTGCCACTTGCAACTTGGTCAACTCCAGAACGCCTATAACCCCACAACACAGTGACCCTGGCCTTTTGCATAGGAACATAACGGGACGAAACGGAGGCCTCCTCCTTCGCCCTTATGGGGTTGTATTCGGGTTTGGACGGGTGTTTCATCTCGAACGTGGACTAGTTAGTCCTGATGACCTGGTTGATGTCACCAGCCCTCTGTTTTGTTTAGCCTCAGACATAACGAAACTCATGTTTGGCCATTTTAAGACGTTTTTGACTGTTTTGTGCCCTCCGTTAAGCAAAGCTTAAGTCACCTTGAGTTATGTACCCCGAAAGAACACTCTTAGACAGCTGGTAATCCATCCTGAAAAGTCTGCTTACCAACTTTGTAACCCTTTGACCCTTTTGATGGCCACTTTGGCGCCACACAGTTTTGGCCACTTGGCTCACTCCTGAGGGCTGACTGGAAAGAGGATAAACTTGCAGTGACTGACTCCCGACAAATCATCGACGTCACTTGCTGACTGTGCGTCCAGTTAGCGATGGACATTGGCTACAGACTGGTAGGCCTCAATCACCCTCAATCGTCGCGAATGGTCACGTGCTGACTAAATACTGAGACGTACCCGTATCGGAGACCTCTATGTTGCGGCGTTAGCCGTCTCTGTAGGAAGCGGGCTCTATAGCAAAAACTATTTTGTCTACAGAAATTAGCTAATGTGGAGCATATTTCTACCAGCCATGGCAACCACGTAAGCTCAGTTACGAACCAATTTCAGCGTGCCTTTAAGCAAGAGAGCCTAAAAACGTAAAATTTAGGTGAGAACGAACTTATGGGACACCCTGTAAGTACTTAAAGAACTATCTCCGATCCACCATGTCACAGCATCGTCTTAACGGCTTGGCACTTCTTTACCTGAACCGTGACATAGCTCTGAACTATGACGATGTGCCCGAGGAGTTTGGACGTGGAAACCGCCGCCTCACTTTCAAGTGAAGTAGGGAGTTAGAGATTCAGATTTTGATGTGTGAGACGTCCCTCGTGGGGAGAGGAGTGTTACATTTTGTAAATATGTGCACCTAATGGTGAGAGAAGTCCCTCGTAGGGAGTTGGAAGTTTCATATTTTTTGAACATATATGTCACTGTGAGAGGTGTCACTCGTGGGAAGCAAGTTTTATGAGAAATGTTCCGTAGAAACCGCCGCATCATTTTAGGAGTGAGACGTCCCTCGTGGGGAGTTTATAGTGCTATATTTTGTGGATATATGCCAAGGTGAGAGATGTCCGTCGCTGGGTGTTAGTGGTAGGTATATTTTGTAAATATATAGCACTGTGAGCAAAATACTTTGCTTTTTGTAATCGGCTATTTGATGACATGTCTTGCGAGAGCACATTTCGATTCAGTTTAATGGCGTTTGAAGAAAAACACAATTGCTATTACATATTCGACCGCAGACGTGACGGAGATACTCCTACGGAGTACGGAGAAGCGCCGATAGATAAGAGTAAAGCCGGCTCTCAGTGAGGAAATTATATTGAATGTAGCAATGCACATGACACCAGTAATACAAAATAGCAACGGAACAGTGATGCAACGCGCACCACAGACTCACCCAGAATGCTCGGCCGCGACACTTTCACGTTCGCAGTTATGAGTTATGTTCGTACCGCACGTGTACCGCTGCCTGAGGCTGATCAATGTGTACGCTTGTACAATGTCAGTTATGTTCGTTCCGCACGTGTACGAACATAACTGACACATTCAAGTTTCAGATATGTGGCGCCCTCCTTGTTGTTGGCGCCCTCCTTGATTGGCGCCCTCTCGTCCAATGTCCTGGTCCTTCGCAAATTCCTGGGTACGCCACTGATTACTTTATAAGAATGTTGAGGTGTAGCAAGCGATTGTCCAAAGTTGTCCAAAGTCTGCTGTCATTGTCCAACCGAATTCCGAATTGGACATTGGACAAAATCGGAATTCCGAAGATTCAAGTTCCGATTGACACCACTAATAGTCACCGTGATATAAACCAGGTAGAACGCTCCCGACGAAAAACTGGGGACAAAAATGAATTTAGTAACGGCGACTCTGGGGACTAAACAAACTTAGGTTGCCATGGTAACGGGGCAAATTTGGAATGAATACGCATTTAATAACTCATTTTTCAACGAATTGTTTTAGAAAAAAAAGCAAAACGACTTTTCGGACCACTACAAGAATGAACTGCAGTTTTCATAAACGACCCGAGTTTTATCAGTCTGGCCTGAATAATATCAAAATTAAGTCCTAAACTGAACGGCCCGTGCTGCTATAGGTTACCTCTAACGCCCTGGCCCCCTAAATCGTCACTGGCTTATCAGCCAATGAGCGTCGAGTATTGCCGTACGCTGATTGGTGGGATTACTGCAGTTGTTGTTTAGAATGCTTACGGTGCTGACAGCGCTAGCGAAGGTGTCTCCACTTTTCGTAATGTTAAAAGCCCGGAGCGCACCCCCCCCCCCCCCCTTGGTCAATATGCACTAGGCGAATACGCGTCCGGGCCCGGCCATCAGCACCGGCCCGCGCAGTTGCCATGGCAACGGCTCAGCACAACACATACCAGGCCGCAGCGCCTCGCCCCGGCCAGCAGTGGTACCGCAGTGCGGCGTCGCTGCCAGCAGTGGGATCGCAGTACGACGTCGCTGCTGCAGCAGAGGTATCGCAGTGCCAGTACTAGCAGGCCACGCGGTTGCAGTAGCCAGAGGTGACCGTAAGACCTCCACTGACGCGGCGCCACGTCCAGCCGACTGGTAAGGCATTCAGCGTGGTAGAGCTCTTGACATTGCTACGGGGCCTTAAAGCCTGTATTGATTCAGCTGTTGTGCTCGTCCTACCCGAAAAAGGCTCCGCCCAGCGAGCCGTTTTTGGATGTTGGAATATACCGTTGTTCCATTAACCCGCGCTCCGTAGGGCTATCGGCGGACCCTACCACCCGTAGGGGGGGGGGGGGCGTCTCAATCTCGGCCCCCCTAAGACCTCAGAAATTTACCGGCCGATTTTCAAACTTTAAACAGCGTTCGATAGCCCCACCGAGGAACTACCTTGTGACCCAATTTCATTGACCTCGGTCCAACCGGTGACGTCAAAGGTCAGGTCAAAGGTCGCATTTTAACCGTTTACAGGCATTTCAAGAAATGTGTTGTGAAATCGAGTAAATTGGTATGTTATTGAAAATCATCGATGCAGAATTGTTCGCCAAATGCATATTTTGCTATCTGAGGTCACTGATACCAGGTCAGGTCACAGAGGTCAGGTCACTGAGGGTCACAATATGAAAGTGTCGTGTGATGCGTGTTTTATGGTCCAATTTACATGACAAATGCGATTAGTTATGTGGGCAGGGGCGGCGCCACGGATTTTTGCCAAGGGTGGGAAGCCGAAGTAGGGGGCCTCTTCATAAGACGAGGCCTCAAACCTTTTCGCCTCTGGGGCCTCCTCAAAAGTGAATATTGTGGTCGTTTGTCAGAAAACAGTACCTATATCTGCAGTTTAAAACGTTTTCGTTTTACCAATACCAATACCGTTTATTCGGGCGAATTCACGCAGAAGTGGCTTTTCTTTGCTTAGAGTCAATGGTAAAACACATGATACAATGATGGGACTGCTCCTCACGTCACAGACGCAGTACGAACTAAAATTGATAAAAACGATAAAAATAAACAGGAATATGATAAAACTGCCCGTGGCGGTGCATTACTAATACTGCATATTTATCACTTGCCTCATAGCATAATTAAAACGACCGATTGACATCGTACGCATTTCAGCTGGCAATTGGTTGTATAATGTATAGCATCGGGCCCAGTACAGAAATCAGCGCCTCCCAGCCTCTGTCCTGACAGGTGGCAGTGTGCTTCGAACTTGTGTCTCACGGTTTGTTTGGATAAAGGATGAAAGCGACACTGGTGTATGGTATTTAATAGAGATGTCAATCGGATACCAACTTTTTGGTATACCGATACCAAACCGATACCAACTTGGTATGTGGTATTTCAATCCTAATGTAATTGGTATTTCGTTGGTAATGCAAATACGGTAAGGGAGGCCGTTCCGGTCCCTGAAAGCGCGTCTCGCCTAGGACTATAACTTAACAAACAAATAAACACAAAAAGCACCGTTCGGCTCAACATAGAACCCCGGGCAGCACCGACGAATGTTTAAGATCTTCCACAGCCTCAAGTCTTTCATTGTCTTCCATTGTTGTCTGTGTTATGAGATTTAGCTGTCGTTTCCGTGGTCTGTATGACATTTCGTCCTATCCAATTTATAAATAGCACTCCCAGCATGTCAAATAACGTTTATTCAACGTTCCTCCGCACTACCAGCGTTCCCCGGCGCCTATTCCCCACGCTTCTTGCTGGCACGCTTCGCTTGATCGTTGCACTTAGCGGTGATGATTTTTCTGATATCAGATTCTTGTAGTTTTAGCTTCGAGGAGCAAAACGCTGAAAAAAGGGCCAAATGAGTCTCAATCATTGATCTTACGATTGAAAACTTTACAAAATAAAAAATCAACAACCGTATTTTCATAAAGTGAGCTGATTTGAAGAAAAGAAATCCGTGTAATTTTTAGTCATTTTTTATCTAACATTCTGCATCTTAATATTTCTGTTCGTGCTAGACATTAAAATTTGAGAAAGATTGCAACACCTACAGTTCCAAAACTCACGTTTATGAAAAATAATCACAAAAATAATAAGAACATGGGCTTCTAAATGATATTGCGTGGTAAGTAATAGCATTATATATCAATAATAACCTTATATTAATGTGCAGTCTACCTACAACTTAGGTACATATGATAGCACTCATTCGGCGACTAGGCTCCGACGGGTGCGGACGTGTTCTGCCACGGTCCGCATTAGTTAGGTTGCTCCGATCCGAATTGTGCGCTGGTTGGTTTGTTTCAGACAACAGACCGGTGCATTTCCCTCCCTTCTCCGTCATCTTGCTTTATTCAAGTCTATATTTCACTTTGTCTTCTAAATTATAACATTAATATTCACATTCTCGTTCTCCCTCCATCGGTTTCCGGCTCCACTCCATTCCTCGTCGGTGCCGGCCGCGGTGATTGGCCGACGCCGGTCACGTGAGCGTGACGTCAGCCCGCCAGCTAGCGGCGTTCGCGCGGTTTCTTGGCGCGGTTTGTTGGCGCGCTTTTACTAACCGCAGGCGCGCCTGGGCACATCTTCGCGGGTAATTCCAGTTCTGTTTTGGCCGTAATAATTTGTCAAGCCCTCTATTTTTGCCACTGAATTTGATCATCTACTATACTATTTGTAGAATGAAACTCTGTCTGTCTGTGTGTTTGCACCGTGCAGAGGGGTGCTTTGACGCCGTGCACAGGTCAAACGGTGCGGTCGATGGGGCTGAAATTTTCGCAGGGTGTTGATGACGTCACGCGCACGTGCAGTGTCGTGTTTCGAGTCCCGGGGGGTGGATGGTTCGCACGTGGCACGCCCTGGAAAAAGGTGCATTTTCTCCAAATTTTGCTCGGATCTCAAGGCATCGGCAGCCGGGTTCAATCGCCTTTGACAATAAAATGCATGACGATCGGCGGCGGGTGCCTCTCATTTGCAGATTGGCAGATTATTTATTTTCATAAACAGAGGCGAATGAAGATGTTGATTTTCGGTAAATAAAGACAGTTTTTAATACGCTTACACAAATGCACCGCATTTGACGCAATGCGCCACATTTGTCACGAGGTGCCATTTTTGGCGCTAACCGCAAAACTTTGTCAAATATTGTCCGATAAAGGGGCAATTTGGTGGAAGGATGCATGGCAAAACAATTACAAATGCACCACTTTTGTCGCAATGCGCCACATTTGTCACAAAGCGACATTTCCACCAAATATTATTAAGAATAATAGAGCGACAAGTTAGGAGCAAGGCTAGGAACACTTTCTTAGTTTATCAGTTTATCTGATAGTCTGTGACCTCAGATGACCCAGTGGTAGTGGTAGGTGTAGTGGTAGTAGGAGTATTGGTAGGAGTAGCGGTAGGGGTAGTGGTAGTATTAGGGGTAGGGGTAGTGGTAGGGGTAGTGTTAGGAGTAGTAGTAGGGGTAGTGGTAGGGGTAGTGGTAGGGGTAGTGGTAGGGGTAGTAGTAGGGGTAGTAGTAGTAGGGTAGTGGTAGGAGTAGTAGTAAGGGGTAGGGGTAGAGGTAGGGGTAGTGGTAGGGGTTGGGGTAGTGGTAGGGGTAGTGGTAGGAGTAGTGACATGGGTAGAATTAGTAGAAGTGTGGCACAGGCCGATCCAATGTGACTTGGTGACCTATACGACCTGGCCTGACCCAGTGTGACCAGGGATGACCGACTTGACCTGAATTGACCCCGTATGACCCAAATTTTTATCAAACTAAGCCATCAGTATATTCCTTTATATATCTGCTTCCAGACGGCTCATCGGTATGAATCAAACACCATTCGAAAGCAAACTGGCTGCTGCGTATTTTATGGCTACGCCGCGAAGCAAGTGGCGCAGCCGCTTCTACTATACTATTTGTGAAATGAAACTTTGTGTGTGTGTTTGCACCGTGCAGAGGGGTGCTTTGACGCCGTGCGCAGGTCAAACGGTGCGGTCGAGGGGGCTGAAATTTTCGCAGGGTGTTGATGACGTCACGGGCACGTGCAGTGTCGAGGTTCGAGTCCCGGGGGGTGTATGGTTCGCACGTGGCACGCGCTGGAAAAAGGCGCATTTTCTCCTAATTCTGCTCGGCTCTCAAGCTTGCTTCAAGGCATCGGCAGCCGGGTTCAATCGCCTTTGACAATAAAATGCATGACGATCGGTGGCGGGTGCCTCTCATTTGCAGATTGGCAAGTTATTTATTTTGATAAACAGAGGCGAATGAAGGTGTTGATTTTCGGTAAATAAAGACAGTTTTCACTGCGCTTGACCGAATGCACCACGTTTGCCATAGTGCGCAACATTTGTCACGATGCGCCATTTTTGCCGCTAACCGCACAACTTTGTCAAATATGGTCCGATAAAGGAGCAATTCGGTGGAAGGATGCATGACAAAATGACAGGTACAAATGCGCCATGTTTGTCGCAACGCGCCACATTCGTCATAAGGCGCTATTTCCACCAAATATGGTTAAGAATGATGGAATTACACGAGTAGGAGCACGGTTAGGAACTCTTTTTTTTAGTTCATCAGTTTATATGATAATATGTGACCTCACATGACCCAGTGGTAGTGGTAGGTGTAGTGGTAGTGGTAGTGGTAGTGGTAGTGGTAGTGGTAGTAGTATTGGTAGGAGTAGCGGTAGGGGTAGTGGTAGTATTAGGGGTAGTGGTAGGGTAGTGTTAGGGGTAGTAGTATGGGTAGTGATAGGGGTAGTGGTAGGGGTAGTAGTAGGGTAGTGGTAGGGGTAGTGGTAGGGGTAGTAGTAGTGGTAGGGGTAGTAGTACGGGTAGGGGTAGGGGTAGGGTAGGGGTAGGGGTAGTGGTAGGGGTAGTGGTAGGGGTAGGGGTAGTGGTAGGAGTAGTGGTAGTGATAGTGGTAGGGTAGGGGTAGTGGTAAGGGTAGTGGTAGGGGTAGTGGTAGGGGTAGTGGTAGGGGTAGTGGTAGGAGTAGTGGTATGGGTAGAAGTAGAATAAGTGTGGTACAGACCGATCCAATGTGACGTGGTGACCTATACGACCTGGCCTGACCGAAGGGGACCTGGCCTGACCCAGTGTGACCAGGGATGGCCAAGTTGACCTGACTTGACCCCATATGACCCAAATTTCATCCAACTAAG